AAAGTTATCTACATAACGTAGGCTCTCCAAGAATCCTAAGGGTGATGGATGTAATAGATATATAAGCAACTATACTTAAGGGAGCAAGTCTTTGACTTTAGTTTTCCTGGGCAGAAGGAAATGGACTGAATTTCCTGGCTGACACAAATGACAGAAAGCCCTGATAGAAAGGTCCAGGCAGAGGCTGGACATGTTCTAACATGTTGAGCTAAGTAAAAGTTGCGTTTTGCATTGAAAATGCAGGGTAGGGTAAGATTATTGTTCTGATATTTTCGTGTGCTTGTTTATTCTTATTCTTTGTCTGTATTTCAATATATGGTTACTGATTCTTATGTTTGCTCTTGTTTTAACAAAAAAATCTTTTATAATTTTTACAGCTTACAAATTGTCAACGTAATTGTGTCATAGTACTTGACTATATATGCAGGCCTCTTCTCCAGAAAGGGCGGGAGTTGAGGGGCATCTTTCCTGAGTGTATGACTGGACAAATGTGTGATCCTTCTAGCTGGCAAAAATGCCCCTTCGTGAGAGCTGACAAGAGGTAGGTGAGGTGGGTGAAGCCAAAGCGCCATGGGTCAGGGAGATCACCTTTCAGAATCTCAGTCTGTTTGCACAGAGGGGTCTAGGGATGAGGGGCACCCCTGAAGGTGTGAAAACACCCTGGGAGTGTATCTGAAATGTGCATCTGGCTGTATTCGGGATGGGGGAGTGTCACAGTAGAGACCATTTTCCATGTTTGCATGCAAAGCATGTACAAGTAAGTACTTGATTTACATTGCTTTTTGGCTATATGCTTATGTAAATTTATTATATGCAAATGTGTATGAAATTATATGGACCTGATTTTGAAAACCTGCCTTAATATAAAACTTTATTATAATGTGCCATATAATGATGTTCATAGAAGCTACATTTTGGGGACAGATTTTTTTATCTGTAGCCTGCCCAAGTTCAACCAATTGCATAAGGTGTTAAATACAAAAATGATAATTTATTTGGAATCAAATAAAAGATCTGATTTGGTAGTTCTGACTCAGGCAACATTCTCATGTTTTCACAGTAGAAATGGACCCTATTAAAGTTTTCTTGGGGGCGGGGGGAGTGGAGGATGACACTCTTTATAGAAAAGTCTATCTACTGGTCTCAGTGTTAACTGAATTTCTAAATCCACACCTTCCAGCTGGAATCAAACAATTCATGAAATGATCAGGAAGAGTCAAGGTGTTTCAATTCTATAATGGCTTAGTTGCTAGATAGTAGGACTGTGAGAAGGATCAAGTATTCACTTCAGATTCGGATTCGGCCGATTCAGAGTACTGTGATTCGATTCAGAGGCTTGGATCACTGTCCTGAATAGATTTGACCAAATTGGATCCAAAAGATTTGGTGCCACTTAGGTGCCACTTTGGAGATTCAACCCTAAATTAAGCAGGCAGCTGACAGCTGCCTCCAGCTGGTAAGTCTGTTGGAGTTGGAGCTTTGTCGTGCCACCACTTGCCAGCCGGGGCAGATGCTGCTGCCACTTGTCAGCCAGGGCAGAGGGTATGGGATGTGGGCACATCAGTGCTGGGGGTGTGGGCTCTGCCCTGTTGCCTCTTGCCAATCAGGACAGGCAGGTGGGCGCTGCCACCGCTTGCAAGCTGGGACAGATGCTGCTGCCACTTGCCAACCAAGGTGGGGAGGCAGGCGCAGGATGTGGGCACATCAGCGCTGGAAGTGGGGACTCTTCTGTGCTGCTGCTTGCCAGCTGGGGCAGGGGTGCTGCCGCTGCTTGCCAGCCAGGGTGTGGTGGCATGGGATGCAGGCACAGCAGCACTGGGAGCAGAGGCTCTGCCCTGCCACTACTTGCCAGCTGGGGTGGGGAGGCAGGCGCTGCCACCACTTGCAAGCCAGGGCAGGTGGGCACTGCTGCTGCTTGCCAGCTGGGGCAGGGGGTGAGGGATCCGGGTGAGGCAGCACTGGGAGTGGGGGCTATGCCCTGCTGCTGCTTGCCCC